CCCCTTCCTCCTGGCCAGCCCCCACCCCCTCCACTAGAGGCTCCCAGTACTGATTGCACCCCACCTTCCAGTCATTCCCCCACCACTGCCAGGCTTCACAGTCTGGCGCCCAGACGGAAAACCAGGAAATACCGAACACTGCACGTGTCGGGTATTTTCTGGAGTTTTTTTTTTTTTTAAACCAGAGGGCCCAAAAACTGGACTGTCTGGTAGAAAACCAGACACCTGGCAACCTTATGAGTCGGACCCGGTGCAGGCACCAAGTGATGGGGAGATTGCCAGAACTTTGGGAACTAGAGACTGCAGGGTGTGGGTTTGTGGCCCAAAAGGGGGCTGAGAAACCTAAGAAAGACAGAGTAGGGGGAGCACCAGAAGGGTGACAGGCAGGGTGACCCTAGAACTCTGTTACAGACCAGCTGGTGGCTGTGGAGGAGGAGGGAAAAATAGGGGGAAAGGATCAGAGAGGAAGGGGCTTGTGCTGAAGGGAGGGGGGCAGTTCAGGAGAAGAAAGGAGAAGGCACCAAGGGACAGAGTGGAGGAGAGAGACAAATGCAAGGGGGCCAAGTGCAGACAATGAGGAAAAGGGCAGATGGGGAAGTGTCAGTGAGAGGGGGGACAGGATGATGCTAGAAGAGGAGAGGGGAAGGGCTTTGAGGGCTAGATGGAAGAAGGAGACGTGCTGGGGGAATTCTTGAAAGAAGGGGTGGGCATGAGGAAGGTGGGGATAGAGCAAGGCACGTGTGAGAGCACAGAGAGACATGAGGGGAATGGGGACAGAGGTGGTGAGGGGGTGGGCATCAGAGAAAAAGGAGGCAGGTGCAGTGAGGGAAGGGGGAGGCACCAGGAGGGTGCAGGGGTAAGGGAAGGTGCAGGTGCCAGGGGATTCCGGCGGATGAAGCAGAATGGCAGACACCTGCAGGGGAGGGACCAGCACCACAGGAGAGAGGCAGGGCAGGTGTGTAGAGGGAGATGTTAGGAGAGGGGATGAGGAGGGGTAGCTC